AGAAGAAGGAGTGGGAGAAGGGGAAGAAGAGAGGGAGGAGGGGAAGAGGAAAGAAGAAAGGAGGAGGAGAGAAGAGGAAGAAAATATAAGACAGGAAAGGAAAAGAAAGGGAAGGGAAGGGAAAGGAAGGGAAGGGAAGGGAAAGGAAGGGAAGGGAAGGGAAAGGAAGGGAAGGGAAGGGAAAAGGAAAAGAGAACAGAGAGAAAAGAGAAAAGAGAAATGAGCTTAGACTTGTGTTTTTATTGGGATGTCCATTTCTACAACTCCTCAATACAAATAACTAGCAAGTATATGTGTTTATGTACTTTTGTATCTGTGTATCTATCTATAATAAAAATACACATATTTCTGTATTTCTTTATCTGTATATATGCAAATATGTATGCAAATATAGCTGTGTATCTGTATATATATCTAGACACACATATAAATATACATATTTCTGTATCTCTTCATCTGTGTATATGCAAATATATACTGTATATTTATATATCTCTATTTAAATAGACATGAGTTTATTCTCACAGCTCCCATTCCAACCAGCATAATGAGTTTCATCCTAGACTATTCTCTTTATCAGAACCTCCTTTCTCTGACAGTGAGATGACAGCCTCTCAATATCACAGCTCTGATACGCACATCCTAAGAATTGCTGGACTGTGCAGGCTGAATTCACCAACACACCACAGCGGTATACACTGTGATTTCTGTGTGCAGCTCTGCAGTACCAGTCAAGACACTTTGTTCAGATCACTCATGGGTTTCTTCCTTACTGACACTCCTGAGTGATCTTATCCACCAGTCAGATTCACACGTCACAGTCTGCATTGTGTTGTGCCCTCTCTCAATATCTGGGGTGATTTGTTTCACTTTGGCAGGCAGGTGGCACAGTGTACATCTGAGTCTTGGCAAATCAAAGAGCCCAGCATGGGGCACCTCAGTGCCACACAGAGCAACTCTCTCACCATAAAGTGCTCTTGGCTGCTACTCAGGTACAATGACATTGTGCCTCTCTTAGAACCCCTGGAGAGGGCTGATCTATTTTCTGTCCCCATAGGTTCATGTCTCCCAGGATGACATGTAAATGGAAATGCATTTATCAGTCTTTGTGTCTGGCTTTGCTTCACAAAATGCAGTTAAAATTTATGCATGCTTCTCT